GTTCATCTTTTTTTCTTCGTGTTTTTCAGGGGTCAGGGAGTCACGGGGGCGGGGGGAGGGGGCAGGCCTGAGAGGAATGGGAAGTGAGTGTGAACAGGGTGCATGATGTGAAATATCCAAATAATCAATAAAAATATTATGTTGGAAAAAAGTACTTTGTGCATATATGCCTGTGTGCATGGGCACATAGGTTCCAGTGTGTGACCACAAGTGCACATACCACCGTGCACATCCAGAGGTCCCCGAATGACCCCAGGGGCCTGTCCTTGTTTTCTACTTCATAAACACAGGTTCTCCTTGGCATTCTGCTGCTGGTAAGCAGGCTACCTGCCCTGTCTCCACCTGCTGAGGTTATAGGCACAGGCTACCAGCTGCAATTTTACCTGGATTCTGATGGACCTAGGTCCCCATGCTTGTGTGGCAAGTGCTTTACTTGGTGAACGAACTCCCCAGTCCAAATCCCCAAAACAACCCCAAAATTCTGTTCATGAAAAATACAAGGGAAAATCTGGCTTTGAGAAATTGTTGTTCATCAGCTAGAGACAATTTCTTTTTTCATTTGAGAGATGATTACTAAGATTTAGATTAACACCAGAATAAAAAGATTACAGAGTTTGTTCTCTGTACTAAGGGTTTCATTATATTTATATCTGGGGAGAGACTAAGTCAAGCCTCTAGACCAGAGGGTCTCAACCTGTGGGTCATGACCCCTTTGGCAATCCTGTATCTCTAAAAATATTTACGTTATGATTCAAAACCATAGCAAAATTACAGTTATGATGTAGTAATGAAATAAATTTATGGTTGGGGGGGGGTCACCACACCATGAGGAATTGTATTAAAGGGTTGAAATGTTAGGAAGGTTGAGACCCACTGCTCTAGACACTTGCACATATGAACAAAGATGTCTACATAAGCATCCAGTGGCATCTACTGAAACGTGCATTAGTTATGCTGTGTTCTAGAAGTTCACAGATAATACATATACTTAGCAGAGACACTGTATAAGGCACCTTCCCGGATCTTTCTCTGAATGCCACACACATTCTTACCTATTTTTTTTTTTAAAATCTACTATAACATTATTGTTTTTCTTTCAATGTACAAAGAGAAAACATGCTCATGCATATATCCAACCACAAAATGGTATGAGGGAAGAGTTACTGCACTGGGTATAATTATCCCGTGTAGGACTTGCTGATTCTTTCTGAACCTGTGCTTTGATCACTCAGATACCTTGAAGTCTGATGATTTCACCGGCCTTACATGACTCTGCATTGTTCTTTGAATTCAGCAGGTTCATTATCTCCTTAGGAAAACAAAGCTGCTCTCAAGATGGGTGAATAATGGAGGATGAAGCCTGAGATAGCATGTTTCACTGTCTGTATATTTTATACAATAATATTCATAAATGTATCAAAGAAGTTGTATTAGACAGCTTCAGGCGAAGTTTAAAAGTTTAAAATATGTTCATACAAAAAATGCAACTGAGCTACTGGAAATGGTCACCTGGCTCCTGTGTCTGAGGTTTCCACTATAAACACGTGCCCTTTAATCAAGTGTTCAGAACCACAGTTAAAATACCACCTTCTACAGCCATAAGATCAACACCACTGATTTCCGAGTAATGACTGCCACTTCCTCACACAATCAGAGCGCAATGACAATCCACCATGTGAGGCCCAGCCAGACACAAATCTAAAGCATTAGTCAAAGCACATGTTTATCAACGGGCTACAGAACATCTCCTCATCCAACACAGTGAGAAAATAGAGAAATATACAGTGTGGGGTGCCTCAGACTTCAGTTAGGAAGTCTCTAAGGACAAGCAGAAGTTGTCTCAGATTCCAAGAGCACTCTATCATGGTGGACACAGACTCATAGGACAAATATTCTGTCTTTGAAAGCTGTTCTGTGCAGTAGATGGCAGTCATTGCAGGGACAACTGGTCACAGCACAGAGAATTAGCCTGTGTGAAGTTCTTAGCCATAGTGGGTCTCTAGATCACGACCCCTGACCCTCAGACTCAGGAAGCATCAGGGGGTAGAGAGACGGGAGGACGGAGAGGGATGCTGTGAAATGGTGTCTGTTGGACACAGTGGCCACTGCACTCGGGAGCTCCCGACAGCTGTGGCTGCATGCACACAATCCGTCCAGCCAGCAGTTCAGCATGGCTGAGGGAGCGGAGCGGAGCAGCCACTGGAAGCCGATGGACACTCAGGGAAGGAATGAGTTGTTTTCAGGTAAGTGGCTCTAGCCAGGTTGACCACGTTCCGCTGATGGCCCCACACGTGTGTGTGTGTGTGTGTGTGTGTGTGTGTGTGTGTGTGTGTGTACAGGCAACACTAATGTGGCCCAGTGGGTTGTTAAAAAAACGAGACATGAAACCGGAAGGGGGTGCAGGGAGGAGTTGAAAGGAGAGTAAAGTGGATACGGTGAAAATATGAATTCTCAAGAATAAAAATACTAAAAATATCTGTGAGTATATGGTCATGGCATTTAACTTCGTGAAAAGATTTAGTTTTGCTGGCATTGGTGGCGCACGCCTTTAATCCCAGCACTCGGGAGGCAGAGCCAGGCGGATCTTTGTGAGTTCGAGGCCAGCCTGGGCTACCAAGCTAGTTCCAGGAAAGGCGCAAAGCTACACAGAGAAACCCTGTCTCGAAAAACCAAAAAGAAAAAAAAAATTTAGTTTCCAGTTTAAGCAGTGATACAAAGTTTCCTTAAAACTATACCATTTGAAAAAAGAAAATCAATTTTCACATGAAAAGTGTTATAAAAGAGTAAAACTATGTGAAAGTACGAGATTCATGGCTAAGTGTCACTAAAAACTGCTGAAAGCGGGCAGTGGTAGTGCATGCCTTTAATCCCAGCACTCAGGAGGCAGAGGCAGGCAGATCTCTGTGAGTTCAAGGCCAGCCTGGGCTACAGAGTGAGTTCCAGGACAGGCTCCAAAGCTACACAGAGAAACTCTGTCTCGAAAAAACAAAACAGACAGATAGACAGATAGATAGATGATAGATAGATAGATAGATAGATAGATAGATGATAGATAGATAGATAGATAGATAGATAGATAGATAGATAGATAGATAAACAAAACAAAACAAAACAAACTGCTGAAAGCATGTCCTAACAGCCTGTTGCTATACCTTGCTATCAGTCAGTGAGAGACAGTTCTGTGGGTCACAGTTTTACAGGCTTGCCTGAGTGTGAGCGATACTAAGTGTAAACACTATCACTCATGATAAAAGTCTGGATTTTTCTATAAATGATAGAATAAAATTAGCAGGAAGGAAACGTTTCCTGAAAAAAGAAATGACCGTCAGACACTAGCTCACCCGATAGCTGCTATAAAATGTTACGCAGTTTGTAAACATGGAAACCAAAGTCTGACAACTGAACACACATGAAGATCAGACGGACACAATTAAGTATGCACACTGGATTCTTTTGCCTGTAGATCCTAGGTGACATCTGAGGAAACAGTGTCCAAGTTATTAACATTTCTATCACAAAAAGGGAAGGCTGTTTAATAAGGCCCTTTGTTTTGACTGTAGGCTCTGGGGTCTCATATTCTAATGGAGGCTGATTCTCAACTGAGCAATCAGCCTGGTAAAATGTTAATGCATCCATAGAGACTCTAAAGCATTGTTGTTTAATGTGGTGATGGGAAAGCAGGCAACGGAGCTTTAAAAATGCATGTTTTCCTTGCAAGAAAGAGCAAGGCAACAATAGTGACCTGGACGCCTGCCTCTCCAGCTGAGGCCCTGGACCCAGGGTGATCACCTCTAACACTGGTCTATTTATGTCACAAGGCTGACATTCCCAAGCAGAAAAGCCATTATTACCTGGATTTGTTTTTATCAAGTAAACATTAATCTGAATATAAGTAAAAAAATCTGAAATGATTGACATAGTTTAAGATAAAATTAAGATAAAGATTTGTTTATTCATGTTGCAGATTCTTAAAGAGGCCTGCTGTATTAATACATTTCAGTTGCAAGTTAAAATGAATAAAATTTCACACTGAAAAGTCTCCTATGGGTCATCTCAGATGGTGTCTGGTGTTCCACGATCTCACCTGATACATACGTTAAGATGCTTCTGTCTACGAGGAGGCAACCAACAGGATGCTTTCACCAGGTTCAAAGGAGAAGCGAATAAAGCGTGCTTTCTTTAGGAAGAACACAAAAGGACACAGAAAAAGTCCTTTTCTGAACCAAAGCTTTCTAGGAGTAGATATATGTAGTTATATTTTCAGTTTTTTAAAGAAGATTTTTCGCCCTTAGCAAACATCACAAACTTGTTTTGAGACACAAAACTCTCTTGACTTAGCAAAGCAGATTCTGAGTGAAAAGCTTTAAACTCAACCTTCCAGAGCCCTGTCAGCCCCCAAGGACACTGGCGATTTAAGTTGAGGCCATTCTCTCTCTTCTAACCCAGGTGGGAAGTGTTAGTCACTGTTAAGCAGAATACTGTAATGAGGTGATTTTTGTGCAGTTTTGGGGATCAAACCCAGGACCCCACAATGCAAGGCAAGACTCCTCCCATCTGCACTCCATCTCCAGTTCCCAGACAGAGCTTTTCAATCTCATCACATCCGTCCTTAATCCAGACTTGTGGAAAACCCTTGCTGAACTAATTTGTCAAGCTGCCCAGAACCAATAGGGCGATAATCTATTTCCACACTATGATATATGGAAGTCCTGGAAGGGCACATTTTCATTCCATTCTACTGAAATGAAATGAATACAGGAAACATAAATGGCTAACTTTTTCCATGGGAGCTGATACCTCTGTATGTATAAAGACATGCTCTGTTCACCCAGCCTTTGGTAGCATATTATCATATCTACTGCTCTGCACAGGTCCACACCCTGCAGCCACAATGACACCAGAGGGCATTCCTGGCCAGTTACATTCCTTGACATTTTCTCTGACTCAGGTTCAGAAAATGCTCATGTAGGACAAGATGAGAAAGAGAAAGTGGACTTTACCCTGATGAAGAGGATCTTCTCTCCCACTCGATATCGACCTTGAGAGAGCCGCTCCACACAGAACTTAGTTGGGCACTTGCAGGGAGGGTCTTCAGAGATTCGTTTTACCTGAAATAGAGTAGCACATTCATTGCCCCCAGTAAAATCACATGTGATTCCTCTCCAAGATTTCAAACATGGCTGAACTGCTCATCATGTAGACTTGTTCTTTATCAGAAACGATGTGAGCACAGGGACTATGGTGGTTTGAACAGGAGTAGACCCCATAGACTTGTGGTTGAATGCTCGGTACATACGGAGGGATACAATTAGGAGGTGTGGCTTTGTTGGAGGAAGTGCGTCACTGTGGGGGTGGGCTTTGAGGTCTCCTAGGCTCAAGCTAGTGTGGCAGTCTTTCTGCTAACTGCAGATCAAGACGTAGAACTCTCAGCTCCTCCTCTAACACCACGTCTGCCTTCATACCACCATGTCCCGTCATGATGATAATGGACTGAACCTCTGAAACTGTAAGCCGCCTCAATTAAATGTTTTCCTTTATAAGAGTTGTGGTGGTCATGGCGTCTCTTCACAGCAATAAAACCCTAACTAAGACAGGGTCCTGGGGGAAGTGTGAATACCAGGGTCTGGAAGCATCTTCTGAGATTCTGAGCATATGGCTGACGATGACCCTGATGAGGAGGGAGGGCATCAGATAAGATTAGCTGTCATGACATGTGTGTGGGGTCCACACAACAAAGGCACTGAATGGTAAAATAAAGTGTGCCTAGGCTAACCACACTGAAAGCTGGGGCAAATTCATGTGACACAGAATGTTTCTTCAATACAACCCCATTCCACTAATCTATTTAGGTTTGAAATAAATGAAAAACAATTTTTTTTTGGAAACTCTTCTCTTTTTTTGTTTGAAACTCTAAGATTTTCCCCTGAAATTTTACTACTGGATCACTCAAAATCATCTGCATTTCACCCCATCTTGGGTATCAACTATTGCATTAGCTGACATTTAAAATGAGTAATTAAAACACGACTTTGATTAATATTCTTTTGGAGTTCTCATGAACATGCATGAACACTGCAAATCTTAAGAATATTGCTAGAAAATTCACTTGTTTCATAATCCATGCAACTTCTAGAATGTTTTTAAATGAGAAAGTATTTTTCAGACAATCCAGAGTAACCCAAATATATCATATGTTCAATGTCAAATACTTCAACCATAATTTCCTTGAACTATAATCAGCTGTTAGTAGCTACCATATAAAGATAAAATTAATTCAACAGATAAGAAATTTAGGATACATACAGTGGTCATCAAGAAATCCAGCCATTGTTCATTTACTTATTCATTGACTCTGTTTATAAGTATGTCAATGTATGGTGTATGCACACATATGTTTGGTGTGTGTGTGTGTGTGTGTAGGAGGACACCAGGTGATCTCTTTCGTTTCTCTCTGCCTAATTCCCTTGGGACTGAGTCTGTCACTGAACTAGGGAAGCTAGTGGAGCTTGTGACCGGCATTCTCTCCAGAGAGCCTCCTGTCTCCACCCCCATAGCACTGAGGTTATGGGACAGTGTAACCAGGTCTTCCTTTTATGAGGGTCTTCATGCATCAAGAGTAAGCATTCTCAACCCCAGGCCATCACTTAAGACCTCAAACATTATTTTTAATGATATAATGACTGGAATTCAATCACTCTTTTACCAAGCAAAAACTACAAGGAAAGTAATTTATGAACTCCCTTAATTTTTGTTACAAAAGAATTATGCAATGGTTTTGTTAGAGTATGGAAGATTCCAGAAGTATGAAAGCAAAACACACCAGAGTAAAAACCACGAATGGTAGAGGAATGCAAGGAAAAAATTATCCTAAGAACAAGCAAACTGTGCCTCAATGACACAAACAAAATAACACTGTCTTGAAAGTGAAAGAACTAACTCAGGACACACACGCCCATCAGTCTCTTCTTCCATCCTAAATTTTTCCAACAACACAAGCCTAAGATTCTGAGTCGTTACTGTGACAGAAGCCTAGTGAATCAATAGTGGTTAACCTAGGAATCTCCTTGATGGGTTTAGTTCCCCAAAGGCTAAGATAATATTTTATTTCATCTTGAACCCAAACATAAAGCCTAACACCCTAATGGAATAGAAAAGAGTTCAACAGATGGACACCGGACACATACATAAAATAATCATACTAACAATGGAATGGATCTTCACAGGAGACACAGGGAAATCATTGGAGCAGAGGAAGCCTAGATCCAGACAGCCTTAAAGATGACTTTCTCTGTAGAGTGAGGGAACATCTATCATCCAGTTAGTAATCAGGCCACGGATTTGAAATCTGAGCTTTTGCCATCTTGTTATGGTAATGTTAAAGCAAGTGACCTAAATGATGAGAAATAGTGTAGCAATCCCTTACAGAGCAGACTCGCATTCTGAACTAGCCATGAGGTCAGGGGTCTGGAATGCACCTATGCACTATTTTTAGTGTTTTCTGTGCATATCTCTTCCTACAGATGTTTGTAAAATGTCCATAGACATATAGCATCCTACCATAGGGGCTTTGAAAAAAAGAGTGAGGATAACATAAAGGAGCTAGGAGACAGGGATGAGATCTTTGTCACCTAGGAGACTAGAGAGCAACAAAACTTACAGCCTAAGGCACCAAAACTTACTGGGCAAATTCTCTACTGACAAAGGGCAATCCCGAGTCTGTGTGGGCAACATCTCCTCCATCTTGCAGGATCCTCAGAAAAAATACAGACCCTATTAGTGTCAAATTAGCACCAGGAACATTTTCTCAAGTGGCCTGCCCTTTCTTCATGCCTTCCTCACTAAAAAATAGACTTATTTGTTTGTTTGGAAAGCGAGGCCTTATTTTTCTTATTTCATTTATGTCAGGGGCAGAGGAAAAAATAGAAGGGAAAAGGCCAGACCAGGGGCATTGGAAACACATTGTTAAGTTAATGGTGAACGATGACAGCCCTGCTTCTTACATTACCAGGAGGTAACTCCCTGCCAGGTGCTCTGTTCTTGGCTCGGAACCCAGCCAGTTTGGGGCTGAAATGTGATTTCAAGAGGGGCCTGGTGACTCAGAATTCCACTATCTTTCATCCCCAGCCCGAGGAAGTTGATGAAGAGAAGGCAGACAGTAAGAGCCATTTCTTAGAACTGCATTCAACTCCCCGTGAGAGCAGAGCGGGCTTAAGACAAGGGAAGGTAAAGAGGTGCACTCAGGCCGCCCCCGCCACCGCGCCTATCACAGCTGGATCTCTGCATCAGGACATAGGGAATAAAGCGATCCGAATGGACACCACTGTGTTTCCTCTGTGCGATCTTGATTAAGGAAGGGGGGTGGTATTGTCCACAGAAAAGGTCGCCTATTCCCCTGCAGTTCCCCTAAGACTCAGACTAGAGCATGTGAGCAAACAAAGGTGCTTTCAGTCCGGCTCTTTCTGAAGTCCTCCGCTGGAACGTGATCCTCCCGGCAGGCTCCCCTTTCCTTCTGTCTCCTCTGTTCCTGTTTCCTCGGCTTCTTTCCTTTACTCTTCCGTACCCTCATCGTTCTTCTGTTTGGGGGGAGGGGGTAGCGGACGATAACTTTGTACGAAACAACCCAGTGCTAATTACACACAGAAACTTTTAAATTCCTTTCCTGGCTACTTTTATTGAGTTACATCAAGTTCAGTTCCAAATGGCTACATGTGCGTGGTGTATGGTGAAATGGTTGTAATGGTAACTATTTCCTTTTTACCTTAGACAAAAGGGGTCTGATTTAAGCCATTAATGAGATTCAAATTACTTTTCCTTCTGTCTCACTGTCTTTGAGATAAAATACTTCAGTGAGAAACCATCACTTAAACACAATGCAAAGAATTCAATGTAGTTTACAAGACTGAAGAATGTAAGAAACTATCACAAAAAGGTTCATGTTCTAGTATATTTGAGAAAGTCCAGGTCAACTAGATCTTTTAAGGGAGCTCAGCACAGTCTGTGTGATGTTGGCAAACTCTCTGAATGCCAGGTAGAGACAGCACTACTTTGAATTTCTTACACTAACCTAATCTTTCCCCACAGGGTATTGTAGTGGTAGTATTTCTTCAAACATTCCTTGAGAAATGCTAGTCTTCAGATTTATGGGGCACAAGAGTTCTCACTGGTAAGAGGCAGATGTGTCCACTTAGCACATTTAATGTGTCCTCCAATGCACATTCCTTCATTAAACAGATAGTTATATTCTCAAGATTCCTCTGAAGTGCCCACGTAGCTTTGACCTGGAAGAACAGTCCTTAGAGGCACAGGTTGAGGGGCCTGCAGTCTTAGGTCTCTAGACCACTGTTCTTTTGTTCTGAGTTGGTGGTATATTAGTGAAATAGCCTCTAATCCCTCTCAGAGTTATTCTATACCTTGGGGGGGGTTTCTCTTCCTACTTCTCCCCTTCCCAAGATGAAGACTGGCTAGCCATGAGACAAGCTGGTGAAGAAATGGGAGCATTGTTGCTCCTTGGCCCTGGTTCTGACACATGATCTCAAATGGCAGCACCTGTTTCATCGACAACAGGAAGAAGAGCACTTAGGGCCCATGTTAGAAGACATGATCGAATACAGAGGACAGAGAGGAGACTTCTCACTGAGTATCTATACCAGGGAGCTGGGGAGATGTAGACCAATAAAGCACCATACTTGATTGTGAAAATTAGACTGCATCTTGAGAGGAATGGATATTTAGGCCTCATTGACAACTGCCCCATTGCATACTTACAAACACTTTAGACAGCAATAATTAAGCTGCAACATTGGTGAGAAATGCCAAGAAAAAGCTTCACGTGTGGGCTGAGGAAATGGCTCTGTGGGTAAAACACTTGCCATGAAAACCTGGATTTGGATTCTCAACAGACATGTCAAAAAAAGCCAGCACATGTCTGAAACTGGGTGGGAATGGAGACAGGAAGATCCTTACAGCTCTCTGGCCAGCTGGTTGGCCTGAAACAGTGAGCTCCAGCTTTAGTGAGAGGTCCTGTATAATAATTTACAAAAAGAAGGTAAAGAGCTAACAAAAAGTAGTTAGGCCTCTAGCCTCTGCAAGCATGAACACACACGTGCACATACAAACACGCCACAAGTACACATGCACACAATGGAAGGTAACCCAAGCTACATATTAAAATATGCATTTCAAAGAAAAGTCTCAAGCAATACGTTGAAGAACTAACAACTGCTCCTTTAACATGAATGAAATGGTTCAAAGGACCAAAGAGTTGGAAAACACATAACAAGGAGACATGTGAGGCGTCAGTTGGGCAGGGCTTCAGGTGGATCCTAGAGGTGCCTACAATAATTCTAACCGAACCACACTTACATTCTGTCACAGCATGTTGGCTGCAGGGGTACTGGCAGAGAGGAATTTCAAGAATCTAGTGGTAAAACAGGCACGGACCTCATAGTGAGAGCTGAGAAGTCCCCCGGGCTGGGCTGAGGAATTAGGAAGTAAAGATAACACTAGCCAGACACTCTTCAGGCCTGGCACCAGAGTATAGGGAGGGGAGAACGTTAGTAGATGTCACAGTGGAGAGGGGAAGGAGTCAGAATGGGTATGGCAGCCCAGGGACACATTTGTAAGAAGACTGAACTCACACTAAGTCTAAAGAAAAAGCATAATGCACTACGGAAAAATTACTCTCAACATATAAACAGCATGCCTTTAATATTATACAATATCATCCAATTACTGAACAAAATTTGAAAATGAAGCTTTATGAGAAGCAAGGCATGTGACTGATCCTAAAAGGGTTCCAAAACACCTTCCTGTGGTAGGAAAGCTCCCTGGCTATTTGTACATTCTGAGTGGACTGAGCAGCTACCAAAAAGAAATCAGATAAAAAAATGTACTGTATGAGACACCTTGGTGGGCCAAGCAGAAGTTTGCTGCCTTTGTGGGGACTCACAGCTGCTTGGGCAGTTGTTAAGGTTCTCCTTTTTTAAATCTGCCATGTGGAGACAAGCAAAAGACGGGTGCATGTCTTTTCCTGCATCTGAAAGTGTTCATCAGCCACCCTCCCACTCTTTCTCAGTTCAGACCCTAGAGAGGGAGGCCTGCAGTCCTGGCAGCTGGTATCCTATCAACAGCTGGCATCAAGATCGCTGGTAGTCTTCTGAGGACTTTGCTCGCTCGGGCAAGACATACTTCAGTCTTATGCCTCTCACACTCTTGTGTCCTATAAGTTTGCAGGCAATTACAATCCATAAATGTAAACTTTGCATAAGTAACATCAAGACAACTCATGGTTCCTCTTGTTTATTAATGTCTTCATGCATTTAAGATATGAACATGATAGCACATGGGAGTAACTGTCCAATACATCACTCTCATGAGCAAGGATTGTTTAATATCCCTAGGAACTGCTTATCCTTACAATAAGGCTGTCATGGCTATGTCCTAAACACTAAAAGCCTGTGCCTAGAGGACTGCAGATTAGATAAACACCGATGGATCCTTATCTCCTCTCCTCTGAGCATCAGGAAACTTCCCATTTCCACCCCTCTGCAAGCAACCTTCCTCTCAGAATTAAGAGCTCTCAGGAAGAGATGGTCAACTCTGGCCAGCACGAGGCAATCAATAAAGTGCAGTCATCTTTCTGTCAGAGGCTGTGTCCCCTTCCTCAACAATCCTCAAGGTTCTGGGCTTCAAGTTTATCTCCATGAAAGGAGGAATTGGGAACGAATAACAACAGGTTTAGGTGTTTTCAAAAACCATTGTCAAGGAGTTGACTCATTTCCTAGGGTTTCAGCTACTGTTCAATGGAATTAAGTGGCACTTTATTTTAAACCACTGTTTCGGCTTTGAGTTTCAGGATGAGCTGTAGGAGCACAGATTTGCTTGTCGGAGTTAAAGTGAATTTAAAGGAACTGAAATGCAGCAAGGTCAGAAAGATCTGAAAAGGCAGGTAGGTTTTGTAGTTGGAAAAAACCTGCTGTAAGACTTGTAAACTCCACTCACTGCGTCATCCAGTAGGTTCCCAGTGCTCTTCTTTCCTGAAGACTTGGACGAAGGAGAAGGCGAAGGAGACGGGGCAGAAAGTGTCTCTTCTTGTTCAATTTCTTTTTCCAGCTTTATCAGACCAGGAGGCTCCACACCATACCTTTCAAGAACATGACACTTATCACACACACATTGCAACAATATAATAATGGTACAATATCTGGGATTGTGAGTACCATAAACTATTGCCTTTTACAATGGCATGAACTCTCTGACCTTGAAATGGGATTAGCATTTGTGAATTAGCATTCTTGGAGCAGGGTAAAAAAAACATGTAACTGCTGTGTATAAGTGCATATGCATGGAGGTACATGATGCAAACATACTCAATTTAGTATATTTCTGTCTCAGCAACCTGAACATCCACAGGGAATTTATCTTGAACTTTTTCTGTAACAGAATTGATGATATTAGTGCTATAATTAAAGCCTTATTTAAAATATGTTTGTTAATGATATCTTTATCATTAACAGAGGTTTTATTAAAACAGAGGGTTGATATCAAAATTAAAACATCAGAACCCTAATTAGAAAAAGAAGTAACTGATTCTACACAGAAGAGATTCATTATGAGCTGTTCAGTCCTTATATACCAAGAGCGATGCATGTGTTGCACAATGGACAAGCTAAGCCCTGCGGAATAGCACAAGGAAAGCACAAACATTATTATAGGGAGAGGACACAAGAATAATTCAGAACAACAACATATAAAAGGTCTGTAAACTATACATGCTCAGGAGACTTGGAGACAGAGGAGGAGGGATGGATGGGCAAGAGAGAACGTGATAGTGGATGTCATCATTGTATCTCCTACAATCAGGTTTTCCTTAACTAAAACTTAAAGATGTACTGAATTTTATAGGTCCATATCAACTGTGCTTAGTAGGGGACACCACAAAGATAATTCTAGAACTTGACAACTATGAGGCATTTAGAAAAAAATCTAGGCATACACTTATTAACAGAAAGATGAATGTCTGCAGAAGACGGAGACAGGACAGAGTCTCAAATACAGGCTTCTGTTGTCAGTTTGTCTACATTTTCTGATCAGATGATTGTTTATTATAAAGGAGAGGAAACACCACTTGGTGATTAAAAGGTTGTTGTGAACCAAGTGTGACAGCACACACCTGTGATCCCAGCCCTTGGGAGACAGAAGCACGAAGACGTTAAGTTTGTGGCCAGTCTAGACTAGTTGGAGAGACCCTATCTCTAGACTAAACAAGAGAAACCAAACAGTAGGTTGTAGATGAGATCCTGTTCAAATAGTCTATGAGCAGAGAGGAAATGCTGACATGTGCTCACTGCTTTGGCTGAGCGCTGTGTCAATTCAGCAGCCAATGGAAACCTTGTGTGTGTCCTCCTGCTGTGCTCTGTTACTTTAACAGATGCCATGGCACACAAGTGCAGTGCAAATTTCTAGAGAGGCAGTTTTCCTCCTGGTGATGCTTTGTTCTGACAGAGGGGGGTCCAACTGGTTCAGTTCCTGGCCTCTTTGCTCATTACCCACTATCCCCTTTGAGAGGAAAGGACATAGCTTTGTTGATCAGGCTTGACTTGGTTTACACCTCTAGGAAAAAGGACACAAGCCCCAAACTTCTTTGTCCTTGCTGATGGCCTGATTCTAGAGTCCAGTCATAGGCACTCAGTAGGCCTGGTAACTTGGGCCTTTTCAGTCATAAAGGAAACACTTGATATTTCATCTGCCCCTCTTTTTTATTTTTTATTTTTCTCAGAATTTGGATAGTGAGAAGGGTTCTGTGTATCACATGCCTTTTGAGAGCGGCAAGGCTTATGTAAGAATTCAGTACAAACAGCTTACCATGTCACAACAGCCTCTAATCTATTAAGCAAGTTTTGTTACTACTTAGTGAGAAAACAGTTGCTATAAAGTATAGTCACTACATTTCATATTTCTAACCTTTTGTACTTATAAACCAATCAATGAATTGTTACAAGACACTTGGTACCCTATAGACTCTATTGTGGTAGAGAACACCACACCTGATTCCCAACAACCTCAGCTTTGCTACTGACAGGCCAGAGGGACTTGGGAAGGCCACACTCTTAACTGCTCTAGATGTCTGTGGATTCTTAGCTCCATCAAGGTATAAATCTTGCTTGTGTTGAATGTTCTCAAGAGAATAATATAAACCTGGTTGTAAGTCTGGAGGAATCCAAGACACTGTGATCACAGCAAACTCGGTATCAATTATAAGTGGAAACATCGTATTTGAAAAGGTAAGTTAAATAGATGGGAAAAGATTTCATTTTCAACTGAAGGTGGGTGCCTCCTAAGAATAAGATGTATACACTTTTTCTTAAAAAATAAAACAATAGCAAATATGCTATTAGAGCGGCAACAGGCTCAACTCATGTCCAACACAAAACAAACAGGTCGGCTTTGAATAAAACTGGTAAGAGACTCATGCATGGAAAATGTTTCCTTGGAGATCCTTCTTTACCTGGGAAAGCTGGAAACTAGCTGTGCCATTGACACAGAGAGCAGCACTGAGCCTGGAATTGCTGCTCACAATGGCATTTAAATTCTTCAAGCTGCTCAGGGTAGAGTCAGCCAGTACTGGAATGGACGCTGGAATATGATTCACTGGCTTCCTGTCAGTCGGGAGGGGTCAGCAGGCTGTAAATCATGACCCACCTCCAAGGGTGGAGACTTGTACCTGCAAGCCAACTTAGTCATCTGATGCATTGTTCTGTTCTTCAAAAGGATACCTTGGTTTAGTATCAGTGATAACTTCTATACCTCTTCACATGTCCATTCTTTCTATAAGGTTTTCACAAATTAATGTTTCCCCTTCTTTCCAAGAACAGGGTGTTAGAACTTTGGGGGTAAGGGGGTTTCCTTTTATCAACCCCAATAGGGATCCAACTGGAGTCATTAAGAAAGCTGAATTCACTAAAGCTAAGTCCTGATTCCTGCAGAGCCCAGAAATACAGATATAGTATAAATACTGGGAGGCTAGATACTTACTTTCATTTCATTAAAAAGTAGCAAGTTAGGGAGTCTTGGGATTGGTGACTATATGGGGAGAATATAGGAATGGGTCTTTCATTTTTCTGGCTCAGGATATGGTGTTTGGGATTAAGCTAACTGAAATTAATGCACTACCAAATTCATTCCTGCCCTAGAAAATATATTCAAACTATTTAGTAGACTGTACTTTCCAACAAAAGACATCTGTGTTCCATTGTAGTAGGGTCAGGGGACAAATTTTACAGACTAATGAAACTCCCTCTTTCTAAGGCATGTAACAGATGGTTTACAGATTCTTGCCAGATAATTTTGCCCCATTTTCCCTATTTTAAGGCAATGTAAACTTAGATTTATATGTGGAAAATGCCCGAGCCATGGGAAAGGACACATAAACTCCCAGCAGTCCTTGCAGGTCCTCCAAGTGAGTCAAGTAGTGATCTTAACACACGATCACTTTTCTTTTAAGTAACATTTCATTAGACCATGGCTGAAAATAAGATTAAAGAAAATGTTCTCAAATATTTCCTTTGAATAGTTATAAAGTTGTTCTGGATCAAGGGAGCACCATAACCCACAGTCATGAGATGATGTGGTGTGCGGCTGACACCCACCCTTGCCACCACACTACCATCTCAGAAGCTGTCATTTTCACGATGAAGACAACTCCAATCCTGCAGTCTGAAAAGATGCTGAAATCACAGTTGTTTATTTCTTCACTTTGTAGAATTAACACTAAAATACTGGCTAAAAGAATCTTTTGATTTTGTTGAGTTGGTTTGGTCAATGTCATGTTTCTTGCATTCAGAAATGTATATTTTTCTGAAATATTAGCAGAGAAATTTGACCATCCAACAATGACAGCTCTGTATAGTTAAAAACTAAAAACTTTTGCAATGAGAACAAAAGTACGGTCACCACCCCAGAGCCCAGATTGGCTCCGGTTCTTGAAGGAGTTCTACTGAGTGTCTCCAGGCGGAAGAACAGAGCAGTGGCTCAGGAACACGCCCAGAAGCATTTATTAAGTGATGTTGGTGCTCTTAGGAGCATACATGTGAGATCTGCAGGTACCATGTAGAGTGGAATGTAAGAAGGCATCCCCTTTCAGTGCAAACAGCAGAAAACTCAAGGGACTTGAGGAATTTTGGTAAGATCAAGGGCATCCTTATAGGAGAAGATGAGTGTGGTTTCTGAGTGTGGGCTGAAGCTGCTCAAATGCGCTCAACTGTGTGATCTCCAGCAGTGGACACGGGAGGCGGGAGTGACTTCAAGCATTTAAATCTAGATCTAAACCAGAGGCAGAGTTTCTACGTGAAATGGGACTAGATGGGGTTGGGGAGCATCTCTCCTTCATGCTGTCCTACTTCAGGAGCCTCCAGTAAACCAAACAAATAGCTCAGATGTGTTCAGAAGGAAACAAAAAGGCATTTTACCTGAATACCAGTTATCTGACTGGCATCCCTTCAATTGTTTAAGGTAACAGCAAGAGGAGTGCATTACCCCATTTTCTTTTGTACTGAAAAGCATATACTGCTTCACAAGACCCACTCACCTGAAGGAGACAGAAACACAATCTACAATATCGCAATGCTGAGGCAAGCTTAATGTCAACTCTGCCATGAGATATTGACTCCGATGGTGTACTTTCTGGAATTAATTCAGCCTTGATCTTAACAAGCATGGTCATAAAACGTACAGAGCAATACAGAATAACCACTGCCTTAACTATCTGTGCTGAACTTTAGATGCAGCTCAGCACATAGTATTTGTGCAACATGCCAAAGCCCTGGGGTGGGTCTCCAGCACCCTGTGCTCCTCATGTGGGGGTACATGCCTGGGACCCTAGAGCTGGGAAAGTAAGGTGGGACACCAGGGTCACTCTCCACTATAGAAAGAGTGGGAGGCCAGCCTGGCCTACTGGGGACCCAGTTTTAAAACAAACTGATTGACTGACTAATGAATTAATTAACTAATTAATTGTATCAAAGGGGAAACTATTCATATGACATTGTACATTGAAATTGAGAAAAATTATTCTCTTTGTTAACCAAGATCTGTATTAATTTTACATGCCTGTGTCGAAGGTAATTGATGTCAGGTCTAAAGCTGGTAGCCAAGCTTCACCTATGGTGTGGTAACCATGACTAGAAATGTTCTTTCTGAATTAATGTAGTCATGTCATAAAAAATAGTTATGGAATAAAAATTTTAAAGCAGGAAAATAACTATCAGCTAGATGAGGGATGCAACAGCCCCAGCTGCTGTGTGGAGGCAGTCTTCCTGTGGTTACTCTCAGTTCTCAAAACTTGACATCCAACAAATCCATTTGGACTGTTTCAGCACAAGGTAGAAGCTGGCATTTTTTCTCATATTTGTCCACATAATTATATCACACAGTGTTTTCTTAATAAAAATTCTGGACTCTCTGAGTTCCTTCTAGTTGAGTATCTCTGAGGTAGCTGTGGGTTGATTATGCCTTTTCTTAGTGTCTGTTGCTTCTAGGGGCGAAGGTTGTCTCTAGTCCACTCCTCCGGCTTGGGCAGTAGGTCCAAAGCTGGTGGAGGAGGCCTATCTCTGCACGCAGCAGTACCTCTGTCCTGTGCCCTCTCCCACCCAATTCAAGGATGCAGCAGAACCCAAGGGGTGTGGCATTCTGACTGGCCAATGGATGCAAGCTTGGACTGTGTCTGGAAGGTAGAACCTTGAGTGTCCCCCAAAGCCTTTAGACAGTTATCTGGAAGTGGTTTGGAGCTAGGGAATAGTTCCCTAGCTTCAAATAGTTCATTTTTTCCTTGTTGGGAAACATATAGTAATATTAATTTTAATTAAAAATTTTGAATCAATCCTTTTCACTGTAATTACTGAGATAAAGTAAAAAATCTTATATATTGCATAATTCACTAAAAATTTATTGGCTATAGTGATTTAAAGACCTCGAGATTATTTCTAACTATTAAAAAAAAGGATATGTTCACTGGCAGTGTTTGTTAATGGCCTACAGTTTTACAATGTAAAAAGTCGGTGTTTTCTTTCTCCTAATTTTCTACATAAATTCTCTATTTAACCTCACCCATTGCTGTCTCTTACTCTATTTTACTGGCTCACGTGATCTCAACACCTACATGCACATAGTGCATGTACAGACAAGCAGGCACAGAATACAAACATAAGTAAAAATAAATGCATAAGCTTTAAAGGCATAGAGGATTGCATTCCATGCTCCGTCAAAAAAGATATGAAAGGAAATAGATTTACTTAAATGGTATCAATGACAGCTTAGGCAAAGACTGTCCTGGCCACATGACTGCAGTATTGAGAGTACTAGAGGTGTACGTTTAATTTTAACTATGGCTTTCAAGATGATCCAAGCAATTCCATTTGCTAAATGGTTTCTTTGAATCCAACTTGAATTTCAGTATGAGAAGTCAGTATGCTTTTGTTCCCTGAGGCTGAGATGTGTCTGTGCCTTGACATGATAGAGGAGGTCTTACCTACCTGGCTGCGATCCGGCCAAGCTCTAGCAAACAGAGACACACTTCTCGGGGCTGCTTGTGCAGAACTGGAAGACAAGACAGACACACCTTTATGATGGAAAAGACTGTAAAGTACCTATGGGTGACAAGCTTGCCAATGTCCCTCCTGTGGCCCTCACAGTCAGAGATGAGCTGTATCTCATTCTGGCATTCGTAAGACTCATCCCCAATTCTCAACTAAAGATGTACAGTACTTTCTGAAACTCCACCTACCCTGTGTCCCAAACCCCACTGGTCCAATGAACTCTCACTATAAAAACATTGTCTTCAATTAGTTAATATTAGTAGGCCCATACTGGATACACATGTAGTAGTAACTATGATATAAGAAAATTAAACATATCACACACAAAACTATGTAGCAAGGATTGACTTTTTGAATATATTGGGTACATTCCTGATTCTTACATCAAACTGAATTAATTAGGATAAAAATTTATAAACAATGCTTCTTTGTTCACCTCCAAATAAAGGCAGATGTCAAATGGGACCTCCAACTTCCTAATCAATAAGTGATACGTTAGAAAGAGACACACCCACTGACAAGATTCTTAAGACGTGTGAGTATAACAAGGGCCCATCAGCCTTCATGAGATGCTATTATATTATATGACAGTACTACATAGTAATACATCCACATTCTGTGACTAGGCTTGGGCAGTTCAGCAATGCAGACAATACATACTTGCATTTCTGAGCCCACAAGAAAAGCACATGTTGCTTGTTCTATCCTCCTAACCAAAATTGGGGCATTTAAAAATGTTATATTCAACACTGAATAAAATAAATAATGTAACAAAATTTTGCACAGAGAAAAGTCTTCACAAAGTTATTATTCTATTAAAACAATATATATGATAATATAATAACAATCTTGCTCTAATTCATAAAGCTAGAATTTTATAACAATTCCAGTTCCACTATTTCTCTGTTTACTTAATCTAAATATTGTAATTTATTGTGTCTACTCATTATGTAATAGCAATATTTAGTCCAAAGAAAACAACAGGGTTTGTTTGTAGTAGATAAGAATATTAAATATATTTGTATTGGGACTATTCAAATTTGTGATTTCATCTGGTTTAAATGGATTTCAAATTAAGTATTATTTGGTTATAAAATGCCGCTTTTAAACTTAAGAAAAAAGCTCATCAGAAATGCTTACTAAAAACATAATTGATCATAGAAACCTGAGACAAAAAAATATTCCCATTCCCAATAAGCAAAGTTGAGTTTTAGTTGACCAATGGAGAACTGCCACAGAACTTAACTAGGGAGCCTTGAATAGTTTCTAGTTAAATAGTCTTTAAATGAATATACTACAGCTTCCAAGTGCAAATGTGCCAGCTGCCTGTTGCTAGGATGACAGGCACCTCATGAGACCTCATGTGTTCAGCCAGCTTCAGTGCAGTTATTTGGAGATGGTGACGTTATGCCAACAGCAATGTCAAACAGAACAATAACGGATGTCACAGAAACAGAAGCAAAATACTGAGGTCAATCTAAGTCATCAATTTCTTCAGATACTAGCTTTTTAAAATGGGGTACTAAAATAACAAAATGGAGCTTTGAGAGGGAGCAAGAGCAAACGAAAGTGAGGAAAGGAAGACATTTCGAGCCCCATCTTCCGTCAAAGCTGGGAAAACAACATTAAATACCAGCGGCAGCAGAAGTGTGCACTCACAGGCAGTGACTACCTCTAAAAAGCAACACCCAACCCGATTGTCGTGATGCTTTAGTCAGAGGAGCTTGGCATCCCCATGACGTGGTGTGTGTGTCGGTGTGAAAACAGGAACATTACACAGAAAACGAACCTTGTTTTGAAGAGGACAAATGATGGGGATAATGTGAGAAATCTGACATGAGGGATGCATTACCATTATGCACCTCTTCCTCACTTGTCAAAATAAAACATTTTGCATGTCACACTCAAATGTTGACTCCATGTGGACAGGTGAGGAAATCAGTTGACAAAGTGGAGTAAGTTCAGGGCTCCCATCATCGTCTTTACAGAACTGGCCCAGAGACTAATGGAAACAAAGCTCTCTGAGACGGGAGAAGAGGGTGGGAGAAGGGGATGAGTGAAAACAAGGAAGGATAGCCAGATACATGTGTGTGTGTGAGTGCCATAATAAAATCCATAACTTGTCTGCAAACTTAAAAATTAATGTAACACAGAACGACATTTCTTAGGAGGAATTTCACAGAAAGACTGGGTTTTAACCTCAAGTTTTCATGGAATTATTATCCTTTATAGAGCAATAGTAAAATCACTTCAAATTCTTATGGTTATAAATTATTGTCTTCTGTCATAATGGCCTTCCGAATATTGACTAGACTCTGACTAAAATGGCCAAAACCAAAACAAAACCAAAACCAAACAAACAAAAACACAAGCAGACAAAGGAAACACAGTGAATGACTTGCGGACCTCATTGATATGTTCGGTTGCAAAATGCAGCAGTCTCCACCATATTATGTGTTAGAACAGTCTCATGGTGATGATTAGGATAAAAAAGGCTAAAAAGACAAAACTGCCTAGCAATTTTTAGAAATGGCGTAAATTTAGTTTTTTAGGTAAATGCTTATTGAATAAGCAAAAAAATCACTTTCAGCACCCACTGTAAACTTGGATTTAGATGGTAGTATAAGTGTGTGTATGAGACATAGGAGGCAGCCTTGACTTTTCACACCGCAGCAAGCTCTCCTCTGAAGGGAACAGACCGAGTGAAAGGAGGCTATGGATGTATATCCACGCTGAAAAGTGTGGGTGTGAGTGTGAGGCCTCATGGGTATTATCTGTGTTATATGGGGAAGTAATTCTGTAAGTTCTCACCTTTCTAAGGAAAAGCAACACTGCCTATCTCATAACATCTCTGTGGTGACCGAGTAAAATAATACAGTGTTGCACACAGTACTTAGCACACAAGAAACACTGGCCTGAGGACGGCTTTTCTCTTCATTATTACATTTTTGTTGTTATTAATTATTTGCCTCGGAAGATTATCTTCATTTGTTTGAGTCAATTAACATTAATCCACTTTTGTTTGTTCCTGTGATCATTTTATTGTGCCCCTGTAGTGAACCAGTTATTACATTCAGTGTTAAAAAAATATTCTAGAATGAGAAAAAAAAAAAAGTATGTTTGGGAAGTGCTAATTTAGAGCATCCTATGACAATCAGTATTTTTAATTTTATGAGCTGATATAATATATATTATATAGATATTATATAGATATATACATAATACATACTTTGGCTATTACAAGTTTTTGGCAGTTATAAGTCTAAGTAATAATTACATTTACACAGAAATCATGTTTAAGACCTAAACACCTTGACATTGATCTTCTTAAGAATAAAACAATTCAGTAGAGTCCATTTTCAATAATTGATATGGACATATTAGGTGCATGCTGAGTGTTCTAGGAACCAATGAACTGTATGTCTGTCTCTAAGACAGCTTAGCATGCAATATGAGCTAAGGGTTCTGCCTTTGGTACCTGCATTCCCCATTTCAAACGTATTTCCTCGGCGGCCTTTCAACAGAAACTCCTACTGAAATTTACAGTAGGAGAGTTTTCCACCACTCTGTCATAGTGACAGTCTGGGCCTTTCTTTGAGTTAGTGGTAGAAGCAGGATTTCTTACTGTCTCTTCTCTGAAGGGGGTCCTCTTTAAAACAAATAAAACAGCTCTCACTTTGGCGGTGATTACTATATGAAAAGGCTGCGTCATCAGAGGCTTTTACAAAATACTCAAAGCCTTAAGAAGGAAAGAAAAATCTGACACTGAGCTTCCCTAGGAAAAGCAGCCCAGATTGCAACTCAAGATACATGTGAAGCAGGAGTGGTGGCACACACCTTTAATCCCAGCACTCAGGAGGCAGAGGCAGGCACATTGCTGTGAGTTCGAGGCCTGCCTGGTCATCTACAGGCCAGCCAGAACTAAGTAATAGTGAGACCCTCCCCTGCCCCCAAGAAAAAAAGCATGAGAGACTTTAGTTCGTAACCTAGATACAATGCTGCTCACCCCAAGAACAGAGCCTGATTTTAAATGTCATAGAATCTTCAAGAGCAAAGGACACAAGACCGTGTGTGTGTAGTTTAGCTACCGATATTAAGCTTTAACAGATGGACAAAGAAAGAGAAGTGCAGAGAGTCTGATGTGCACTTGGGTTTTGTACAAGTAAAGGCTACAGTATCTAGGGGGGCAATGCTTAGTTTTTTATTTAAGAAGAAAAACTGAAACAAAATATTATTGGCATCTTGTTTTAAAATTAGGAACATCTCATAAATTTATGGTGGAATCCCATCTCACAGTAGAGAACAAGTCCTGATAAATCAGAGGGGAAGGTGGGAGAAGAAATAAACGGAAAGGTAGAAAGGCAGGCTCTCTACCCAAGGCTGCTGAGAGTCCAAGGAACCAGCTGCTGTGTCTTCTACTTCCTCTTCCTTCTAAAAGAATCGCGGGGCTCGGAATCAACGCTAGCGTCAGTTCCTTGATAGTGGGATGGGTCCAGAGGGCAACAGCACAGGTATCCTGCGGGAGGTTTCCGGAACATCCCACCCTTACTGATGACCATCTATTCTTTCCTCACTCTTTACAGGTGATGAGTGACCTGGCTGCTGGAAGCCCGTAGGATGGAAGGAATGCAGTGAAGCTGGGTGAAGAAATGTGTTGAACACAGGTTTCCTTTCCCCAGCACATGGTCCTCAGAATGGTGATCAGGGCCAGGGTAGCTAAGTTAGCTTTATTCACATTTATTTATTTTCCTTTTACTTAAAATAATCCTATACAACTTTATAAATTTATTCAAATTATTCATTTCTATAAGGGGATATAGTATTTGGAGGTGAATAAAGCAGAATTCGAATCTTGGATCAGTCACTTAGCAGTGGTAACATGGGGTAACAAGTGATTTAATTCTCCCTGTCACAGGCTTTTGCTTGTGCCGTGGCATCGACTGGCAGAGGTCAGAGGGTAACATCTGTGCTGTGCTTAGCTGCCCTTGATGAGCACAGAGA